TGTCAAATAAATAAATAAAATCTTTTAAAAAAATTAAAAAATTAAAAAAAAAAAAGAAATTACTGTTCAGTTTCTCTGGCCACAGAAGCTCAAGGCCCCTCAATGGCCTTGTTCTCAGCAACAGCCTCACACTGTTTAAATACCTATTTGACATTTTCATGATTATATCTTATAGGTAAGTTAAATCTGCCATGGTAAAATAAAACTGGAAAAACACTTGAAGAACCACAAGTCTTAAGGAATGGGTGGGTACTAGGTCGTAAGTTAAGAGACGTGGGTCCTTTATTCACTTACGTGATCTTGTACAAAGTACTCAGGCTCCCCTGCATTATCTAATGGTGACAATTATAACTATACCCCCCAAATTGGCAGCTTCCTCTCTCATATGCCAACCACTGCTTACCTGGTAGTGAAAAAATTTCTGGAATTTTCATTCCTAAATGAGAAAGAAGCTTTCAGTGACTTACAGTTTGCTCCAGTGAGTATATTTTCCCAACTCTTATCTGATGAGCCTAAGTGATACAAGCGCCAAAGCTCCCACTGCACTGTAGTTTCTGGCTTTTTATTTGAAACTTCTGGCTATAAGAACCTTCGTTGTGCAAATCCACTTCAAGCTTAGAGGAGCCTTCTGCCATGGCACCGCACACTGAGTTTGTCTATATGCCAGAAGACTATATTTTGTTACCTGGAAATTCTAGATGTGAGTTGTTAGCCAAAGCTAAGAGTCTGCTTTCGTGTGAAGCTGAAGTTTCTGCCGAGTAACGTTAGCTGTAGAACCTAGAAGGTGCTGGCTTGCATACCTCCAGGTCCCAGCAGCCTTGCCTTCAGCCATGCCCCTAAGAAGCTAACTTTCCTGCTCCAGGAACACACGTATACTAGAGATGAAAGACTCTTTTTTCCTCTCTACTCTCTTCTCCAGCTAAATCTTTGTAGAATGGCTAGTAGGCAGCTGTAAGGGAAGGGTTAATGAATAACAGTCTCATGATAATACATTCTTTAATGCCTGGGGGAATTCTTCTCACCTCATACTTGGGCCCAAAGAGTAAAAAGAAAGCTGTCTTACCAGGTATTTGGGTGGGTTCATGGCTTGTCATACCTCAAGACAGAAATGAGTATTAGTGTTAATCATTTATCTTGCACTGTGAATGCTCTCTTTTGTCTACACCTCCCCCCCCCCAACCCTAAAAAAAGTAACAACAAAAACACCTTTCAGTGGCTCTTCATTCTCTGACAAAGCCCACTCCTTAGCCTGGACTTTAAGAACTTCCATGATCTGGCCCCTATCTCTCCAATCTTATCTTTATAAGTCAGTCCTAGTACAGCAGCTTTTAAATGAAACAGTACTGAGTTTAAGACTCTGTGTGATTTAGTTTTATTGTCATTATAATTATTAGCTCTATGATTGGGCAGGCTTCTGAATCCTTCTGAGCTTCAATTCCTTATTTATGCAAAAGAAATACATCGTAGGTTTGTAAGTAAGTGATGATTAAAGGAAATAAGTCATAAAAGTGCTTAGTACACTGCATGGAATCCCTCTGTTCTGGCTTAACTCATTCCTCAAACTCTCCATGTCCAGTTAGTCAGCCCTTATGTTTCCCGCTAACCTTGTAGCTAGTCGCAGAGGGTAAGGAAAAAGATCACTTACCAAATAAGACAGTGGACTCCTGGCTTTTCATTTCTAAAGATGAGAACAGAAACTCTTTCGTGAAAAATGCAATCAACTTGAAAATTAATTTAATCTTGTATTTATATGGCTATTTACAGTGAAAAACTAAAAGCTTTGAGAGATGGCAGGGACCAGGGTAAAAGGGGAGAAAATTTAATCTACTGGAGCTTGACTGACTTATGGTGAGAACAACTATGGCTAGAGACCCAGGCTTTCTCCTAGATTAAGCAAAACAGCTCTTTGTGATTTTTTTTTTTTTAAGATCAGTCCAAAGACTCCAAACTACATTTGTCATATTAAGAATAAAATTTGATTACATAATACATTATAATTACAGATAATTTGGAAAAACACAGGAAATCATTAAAAATTACTCAGAATCCCAGATCTCAGAGCTACTCATCCTCAATATTTTTGGTATATCTCCTTTCAGTTTCTTTGCTATGTATATGTACATATACATTTTTAAGCATTTTTCCAGCCTTGAGAGATGTAACTGATAGACAGCACTGTGTAAGTTTAAGGTGTACAGCATAATGTGACTTACATATATTGTGAAATGATCACAATTAACATCCAGCATCTCATGTATTTTAAAAAAGAAAAAAACGGCTTTTTTCTTGTGATAAGAACTCTCAAGATCTACTCTCTTAAAAACTTTCAAATGTACCATACTGCTGTACTACTATACTCATCCTACTATACATTATATCTCCAGTACTTATTTCTCTTACAACTGGAAGTTCGTATCTTTTGACATTTAAGATTTATTTATTTTAGAGCAAGAGAGAGAGACAGAGAGATAAGCAGATTCCCTGCTAATAAGCACAGAGCCCAACATGGGGCTTGATCTCATAACCCTTAGATCATGACCTGAGCTGAAATCAAGAGTCGGATGCCCAACCGAGCCACCAGGCGCCCCTCTTTTGAAATTTTTAAATAAACTGCTATTACAGGTCATATGTTTTTATATATTTTACTTGCCACTATATTATAAGCACTTTCTCATATTTTTCAAAAATATGATTTTTAGGGGCACCTGGGTGGCTCAGCATAGAGTCACCTTCTCTCCCTCTTCCCCTCCACTGGCTCACATGCGTGCATGTGCTCTCTCTACAATGGATAAATAAAGCTTTAAAAAAAAATATGATTTGTTTAGTATTTCATTATATGGATAGTATTTAACAATACCCAACTGTTGGACACTAAGGTTATTTATAAATTTTGGCCACCACACACTGTAAACATTTTGTACACAAATCTTTATTTCCTTAGTACAAGGATATAGGATATAACACAAATGTGTTATAACTAGGTTAAAAGGTATGGACTTTTTAAGGCTAGTAATACATACCATCAAACTGTCCTTCAGAAAAGTTCCAAATTTTAATCTTACCATTAATTTGTGAGTGTCCCTGCCCCAGCACCCTTGAGGACATTTGAGTAATACCATTATAAAAAAAGACAAGAACAAAAACTTCAGAATGAGCTGTACTTCGAAATATACCAAATAATCAGATGGATACAGCTAAAAGCATCTATTACTCAGATTGCTGGAAGCAGAAATAAATACAGAAAACATTTTAATTTAGAAAAAAATAACACCATTTTTTAATGCCCCTGCCCAACACCCTAGGTTACAAGAGTTTGTAATTAGTCACACCTTCCTCTATCCATATAACAGCTAACATAAAAACAGAAAATATGCTCTTTAGTATATGTGCTGCCAAAGTGAGCACAGAAAATATACTCTTTAGAACTAGTTCCTCAGGGCGCCTGGGTGGCTCAGTTGGTTAAGCGACTGCCTTCGGCTCAGGTCATGATCCTGGAGTCCCTGGATCGAGTCCCGCATCGGGCTCCCTGCTCGGCAGGGAGTCTGCTTTGCCCTCTGACCCTATCCCCTCTCATGTGTTCTCTCTCATTCTCTCTCTCTCAAAATAAATAAATAAAATCTTAAAAAAAAAAAAAGAACTAGTTCCTCATATCATGTCTCTAAATGCTCTGTCGGTCATCTCGGAGTTAAACAGGAGAGTTAAGTAAGAGACAAGGCTACTGCATCATCTTTATAAAGGTCTATCTATATAACTCAGGAGGGCTCTAATATACCAAACTAGTAAGCTAAAGTGGGTTCTGTCTTCTTCCCACTTTTCCTTACTGTGTTATGCTTACCTGTTTCCATCCCTAAGAGAGCTATATTGCCAATGAAAACCCCCAGAGTTTACAAAAATGTCTTACCAGGGTCTTCAAGGTTCTGGTCTTTCTCACCTAAGTTATAAGAAGAAACTTATCCATTTTAATGACAAAAAAAAAATTGAGAATAACTATAGTTACAGCAAACTATTTTCAGATATTAGAGCCACAAAGAACCACTTGGTATGTCCAGTAAACTAAAGCTACTAAATTTAAGTGTCAGACAGAATCTAAATGCACCGAATTGGGCTGGAACCTTCCTCTGGCCCCTTTTATTAAGAAAAATCAGGGAGACGAACCATGAGAAACTATGGACTCTGAGAAACAAACTGAGGATTCTAGAGGGGAGGGGGTGGGGGGATGAGTTAGCCTGGTGATGGGTATATTAAAGAGGGCACGTATTGAATGGAGCACTGGGTGTTATACACAAACAATGAATCATGGAACACTACATCAAAAATTAAGGATGTATGGTGATTAACATAATAAAATAAAATTAAAAAAAAAAAGAAACCACTATCCTGTGGAGGTTATGGAGAAATAACAAAAAAAAAAAAAAGAAAGAAGAAAGAGAAAGAAAAATCATCACATAGAGCAAGTCTCCTGGGGATCTCAATGAGGTAGAAAAATGTCCGTCTTGAAGAGTTAGCTGAAGTCCATGTGAAATGACCAGTAAAACTTGTGGCTGCAATGGGCCAATAAGAAGTGCTGTTAAGCAAGTCCTCAGGGGCTTCACGTGAAGCTTCACAAAATGCTTCACATTGGGGCAGGAAGTATCTTCCAAACATCAAGTAAATTGCATACTTAAGGAAAAGCCAGATGCTTTCCTCTCTTCAGTAAAGAAAAACTTACTGTAGCTAAATGGGCCAAACACACAAGGAACTTATGCAAAAAAGTGATCTGAGTCATATCAATGGAAGTGGAAGCTTAATGGGGAAAGCATCCAATCACCCAGATATTTTAGTCAAATGATCACAAACATCAGCATATTTGACAGATGAAAATGAGTAGCTTTTCTGCTTTCATCTGGATGTGTGGTGCCACACAGGCTAATCTCAATGATGGAATACAGAGCTATATAACAGGCCCTCAGGCCTGTCAAGAGCAACTAGCCCTTCGGGACCTACCAACCTTAGTCCCCAGAATGTTTCCGTATTATTCAGATCTCCAGAGACACAACCTTCCCATTAACAAAAAGTTAAGTTTCCCCCAGAATAAATTCTTTTTTCCCCATCTCTTTTCTCTCAAGTTACACCTTCATACCTGCAAAGTACTCTTTCTTCACTAAGAAGTGAATTTGCTAAACAGGAAAGAGCTACTAAATACTAAACATCCACATAAGGATTATTTTTAAAAATTAGAGCACACTTACCAAGGTTGTAGATATAGATGGGTAGATGATGTTCTGAAATACAAACATGTTTTCATTACCTAGTACTATGCTCAGATGTAAGTAAATGTCAGGTTCAGTCTATTTTTAAATGTTTATTAATAAAAAAGATTTAAGTTGGCTTCCAAAAATACAGTAATATGAGAAATACAAAATTTCAATTTCAAAAACAAATGGGTATGGATTTTAACTACATGAAGAATTCACAGAAAAACTAGCCAGGAACACAGCTAGAAACAGAACTTTATAGTCAAACTTTTTAACAAGGAAATCTTCAAAGGGATCCACCCAAAGCATGCATTAGCCTAAAGCACTTTCTGGAAACTTTGGTTCAAATCTGTTGGGCTTATCTGATAAAGCTCCTCCTCCTAGAATTCCTGTTTATCTTCCCAAATCTTTCCCATGGTCCTCTAAGGAAGATTATTTTTGTTACCTCCTCCTATTTTTCCCTGAGGAAGGTGAGACAGACCACATTACGATTCTGTCCCCTCAGTCCCCTTCAGCCATATGCACTATATTCCTTTCCTTTTTGGTCTCCCAAATGTTATTTCCTAAGATATCAAAATATGGGAATATGAATCTAGCACTGTGCATAGGAATCATGTAGGGACATTCAAAAGTCCTTAAGCTCCTCCAAGGACAGGCTAGGGTGAGAGTGGCATGGTCCTTGCACACCCAAGGCAAACGCAGTGTTTGAGAGAACAGCCACAGGCAGGGCTGGGGGTGGAGCGCAAGCCACAGAGGCTCCTGGGCCCTCCACCTGACAGGACGGTGGTGGTTGTAGCAGCAGAAGCAGCAGCACAACTCAGCCTTGAGAAGATGATGGCTGCAGAATGACAACGGGGTGGGTGGCTCTGACCCATACCCGGGAGACATCATATTCCCATTCAGAAATAATACTTTAAATGCATATCTTACCCGTGTTCTCAACACAATTTTCAGTTTTTAGTCCTGAAACATGAAGATAAAGCTTTATTAGTTAGATACTCTATGCCCTAGAAAAGATTTCAAAGATTTTATTTATTTATTTGACAGAGAGAGATAGTGAGAGCAGGAACACAAGCAGGGAGAGTGGGAGAGGGAGAAGCAGGCTTCCCACTGAGCAGGGAGCCTGATGCGGGGCTCGATCCCAGGACCCTGGGATCAAGACCTGAGCCAAAGGCAGACGCTTAACGCTGAGCCACCCAGGTGCCCCTGCCCCAGTAAAGATCTCAAATTGGTCTTATAGCTACTGGTAATCTAATCTGTCAGTTTTAGTCTATCAGATCCATAATTTGGTGGGAGTTGAAATGCGGAACAATTACATTTTTGTACTCACATTACAGCCATTCAACAGCAGTATGATCTTTGACAAAACATCTAATGTTTCGGGAATTCAGTGTCCTTATCTGTATCTTTCACTGGGAGTTTGCTTCAAATAACCTCCAAATGATTCTATTCTATGATTAGTTGGCAAACGTTAGGAGAAAAATTATGTGTCTAATTAATTTTCTCTTCAGATACTAAATGTCCTCAACAGAAAACCTATCCTTTTACTATGACAATTTCTTTTTTAAGAGAGAGAGAGAGTGAGAGGGCGTGTGCATGCACAAGAGCAGGGGGAGGGGTGGAGAGAGAGAATCTTAAGCAGACTCCACGTTCAGCATGGAGCACGACTGGGGCTCAATCTCATACCATGAGATCATGACCTGAGTCTAAATCAAGAGTCAGACGCTTATCTTACTGAGCCACCCAGATGCCCCTATGACAATTCCTATTCACTGGACAAAAAGAATCTCAATCAGATCTTAAAGATCCTTGGATATATAAAGAAAGATCCTTCACATTCACATAAAGAAACAAATGGTCTATCCCAGAACACTGATCTATATATGTAAGGAAATCCACAGTTTTTGGAAAGCAAGAATATGGCATCTATCACTGTATCTTTATAAGGCCCTAGACCCAGCAAGAGGGTCTAGGGCCTTATAAAACTAAATCATCAGTGCTGCAGTGACTCCTCTGAGACATGACATCCAGGGATATCTGCTAGCCTGCCCAACAGAGGTTAAGGCAAGAACTTCAGTGGGAGGACGTTTAGATTTGGTGCCAGCATGAGCCACGGAGGGCCTCCAAGAATGCCAGAGATGGCCTAGAGTCCTATGGTCTCTTCTCCATGCCTGGCTAATTCACTGATCTAATCTGGATATTCAGCTACCTGAGGATGAATCTCTCCATATAAAATGGGGGAATCCCTAAGAGATCTGGCTTCACTATGAGAGATGTGCTTTTCTGTAATCTGCTCTCAAATCCTGTTCCATTTGGGGAGTTTGAACCAAGAATCTAGATGACTTGGTCCAGTTTCTACTGGTCCAGGAAATGGTACAGATCTATTAGAATCTGGATGGTGCCTTGAGGCTAACCTTAGGTCTCTAGCTAAACTAGAAATTAAAAAACAAAAAACAAAAAAACAGTCTAGAGACTAATAAAAAATATCACATTAGCAGGAGATGAATGAGTGCAAGTCTCACTCAGAGGGCTTAGCTGAGGGTGAGGTAAAGGTGAGGGAAGATGTGGCTAAGAAAGCTATAGGTATAATAGATTCAGCCAGGGGACTAGACACTGGGGAATTTTTTTTTTTTTTTAAGATTTTATATATTTATTTGACAGAGAGAGAGACAGCGAGAGAGGGAACACAAGCAGGGTGAGTGGGAGAGGGAGAAGCAGGTTTCCCACTGAGCAGGGAGCCTGATGCGGGGCTCGATTCTAGGACCCTGGGATCAACACCTGAGCCGAAGGCAGACAGTTAACGACTGAGCCACTCAGGTGCCCCAACGCTGGGGAATTTTAAAGCCTTTTTCTTTCATCTGTACCACAAATTAGAGTATGTTTCTTAAAGTGTAATCTGCTAATCACATACTTCAGAATCATCTGGGTGTTTACTGAAATCGCAAATTCCAGGACCCTAGCCAGGACTACTGACAAAGAATTTCTGGGGGTGATGTCTTGTAATCTACATTTTAAACAAGGACTCCAAGTGATTTTTTATGCACCAAATTTTTGAGAGCCTTCTCAGTAGTAGAGGATGGATCTCCTTTAATGTTTAACACAGATCCATTTATTCAAGACTGCGTTTCTCCTCCCTATTTGACTTTGGATTTAATTTTCCATTAGTGTTTCAACAGCAGAAAGTAAACTATTTTGGGTTTCTAAAGCAGTAACAGGATTAAAATGAATGAGACTGATCAAAAATAAACAGGAGAAGGCAGAAATACATAGGGAATGAAAGAAGAGAATATAACCACAGATTTGGTAGGTGTAAAAAAAAAAACATGAGATTACTATGACTAGCTTCAGGCCAATAAATTTGAAATATAAGACAAATACCCAGAAAAACAGACTTTACCAAAATAACTCAAGAATAAATAGAGGGGCACCTGGGTGGCTCAGTCGGTTACGCATCTGCCTTCAGCTCAGGTCATGATCCCAGGGTCCTGGGATCGAGCCCCGCGTCGGGCTCCCCGCTCTGCAGGAAGCCTGCTTCTCCCTCTCTCACTTGCCCTCCTTGTGTTCCCTCTCTGGCTGTCTCTCTCTGTCAAATAAATAAAATCTTAAAAAAAAAAATAAATAAATAAGAGAACTTGAATGACATTACAACCGTTGAATAGCTTAAATTTTTTCCACAAAGAAATTACCAAGATAATTTGGTTTTTACAGAGTACTAAAGAGAAGGTAGCTGCACAGAGAGCTCCAGAGATCTTCAAAGGGTTTCCCTCAAGTATTGAGCAAAATACTGTCCAACTTACACATGTGAGGAAACTACGTGAGGCCTGGAAAAGAACCCACAGGAACAAGAGTAGTGCCTATTCCCACCAGTCACACTGGAAAACCTTGTAAGTTGTCATTTTAGCAGTGAACTCTACAGTAAGAAGACTTAGAAACAGTCCAGACAAGAGTAAATAAAGCCTCTCAGGAATTCCCAATCTCCTTCAGATCCTAAGAAATTACAGATGTCTGTGACCAAACTCACAGCTGGTTGGAATTTCCAGCAACAAGACTAAGGCGGTATTTGTTGATCACTGGGTTTCTGCACACAAGCCCTTTGCAGGGCTGCTACAGCTAGCCTGTCACTGGGACTGAGACAGACTGTCTCACTGAAAGAAAAGTCATGACTCTCCAACCCCCTATCTTATCATGCAATGGATTCTCTCTGAACTTAAGTCCCATAGGTAGGATAAAACCCCAAAAGTTCCATCACATGGAAATTTTACTTCCAATTAAGAGCCAAACCTGGCTAAGGCCTTAACCACTTTCACAAACAGGTGCCTGTCCATCTGTCAGAACTGCAGTTTCCAAACAGTGGCAGAAATTCACAGGGCTCCCAAGGGATATTTTAAAATTTTAGGACAAACACAGATGTACTTGGTATCTGTCAGATATAGCATGAACTACTAGCTTGAAGTAGAATGCAGTTTCAAAGGTATGCCATGTTACATTCTGTTTGATGACATCAAATATTTACAAGGCTGTGTTCTCAGCAATTGTGATAAAAAGCAAATATATGTGAAAATCAATGTGGATCAGCAAATAAGGTGGTATCAAATCTGATTCCAAGCTTTGAGAAGCTGTGCAGTGTCCAATAGGCACACACATCCCATTAGCAAGTTATTGTGGCTAAGAATGAAATATTTTTTTTAAATTTGTGTATTATTTTTTAAAATAGTTATTACTAAGATGTTTCTAATTCTTAGATGAACATAATACTTATTGAGTTGTTTGACTTCACTTAATAAATGGAACTTTTAGGTATTTCTTTTAGCCTGTGGACACTGTGAAAACAATTACGACAACACTAGGGACACCATGAACCAAGAAAATTTGAGAACCTCTGCATTAGACACCACAAAAGCTTACTTACTACTTTACCCAAACTACTGGCTCAATAGGGGCCTTACCTACAAGAATTCACACCTGAAAAGACAGTACAGTTCTCTAATAAAACAGCCTGCCCCCAGGTTGAACAAATCCAATGGAATGCTGTATTCATCCATTTTAATAATAATTTGTTCATTGCCTTGGATGTTCTTGTGAGGAGAAGAACTTCAAATGGTGATCCTGGCAGGGACCCAGGCACCACCTTGGGACTGACTGAAATCTACCAGTGCCAACGCTAATGCTCTAAAGCTGTATGATCAGGCCACTGAGACACTCAGAACTGATTACTAAAGATAAAACCATATGCAGTCCCTCTCTATGGAAACAAACACAGCAAACACAACTCATGAAGTCAATCTTTATGCTATACATAATACATGTTTATGCGGCGAATGCATCTAAAGAAAGGCATCTGGAGACTGGCAAAACAAATCAAGCATGTGTGGCCATTGTCCCTACTACAGCTTCTGGCTCTATAAGCAAAGGATTAGGGCTTTCAATAAAAAATTCTATCAGCCTCCCCACTAAAGATCTCTACAGGGTGAACTGGTCTGGCTATCTTCAGCTATTTATAAGTTGCATACAACCATGCTAACCTGTCTTGGCTGAGTTCCCAAGCTCCAAGGAATTAGGTATTAAAGAATGAGGTGAATTGGAAGAATAGTATACTCTCCTCCTTTTTGTGTAGGTGTGCTTGTCCTGACCTCAGTGGATGGACATTTATATAAAACCTTTTACTTCAGTAAATGAATATATATTTATATTTCATATGACCTCAGCAAATAAACAGTTCATATTGATTAGATCAAAAACACCAGTATATGAGACTGTAGGCTTACTCTGCTTCCAGTGGTTCTGTAGCTAGTCTCCTTTGCCAGAGAGGTCACTGTGGAACTGATCATTATGGAAAAAAGGACAGCCAATCTGGATCATCCCCAAGAGGAAGTGACAGCATGTAATGGGTTGGGATTATGGTAGGCGGCTTCTCATACGGTTCCCAACAACCCTGCCTCCTGGTAGTTACACCCTTATATAAT